AATATTTGACTTGTATCCTGTTGATATGGGTCAACTATACCAACTGATATTTTTGTTGTTTTTCTGCTTTGTTTGGATGTATTTATTTTTATTTTATGTGCATAAGTACTTTGTCAACATGTATGCAAGTGCACCACATGCATGTAATGCCCACGAAGGTAAGAAGAGAGTGTTGATCACCTGGAACTAGAATTATAGATGGTGGTTAACTGCTATGTAGGTGCTGGGAACTAAGACCCAGTGCTCTTAACCACTGAGCCATTTCTTCAACCCTTCTGTTTTATTTTGAAGTGCTGGGAATTAGATAAGTGGTGCTCCAACTGAGCTACATCACCAGGCCCACACTAATTGACTTTTGAAAATAAAACACAACTTCCTGGGATAGATGTCCCTGGGTCATAATATCTAATCCTTTCTATATGTTACTGGATTACACTTTTTTTTTTTTAATAATTTTGGGCTTATCTTGATTTAAAATTTTGTTTTTTGTGTTCCTTGCATAAAATATACACCTGAGTTTTGCCTGCCTGGTGGTGTGGGAAGTGCTTCCTTTTCCTTCATTTCCTGGGTTGGGTAAAACTGTTACATTTTCTTGACAGAATTCATATTGAGGGCAACTGAGCTTATATATTACCTAGCTAAAGTGTTTTTTTGTGTGTATGTGTGTTTTGCATGCATGTAAATGCATCATATTGCATGTAGTGCCATCAGAGGCCAGAATCCCCTGAAACTAGAGTAACACTGGACTTATGGATGGTCGTTAGCTTCCATGTGGGTGCTGGGAACTGAACCCTCTGTAAGAACAGCCAGTGTGCTTAACTACTGAGCCATCTCTTCAGCCCTCTTTGCTAAAAGATTTTAATTTCTAGTTGAATTTATCTAATAAGTATATTAATTTAATCACCTATTTCTTTAGGCCAATTTGAAACGTGTGTGTGTGTTTTAATGCTAGGCATAAAGTTGTTTTAAGTACCCCTTTAATGTCTTCATCAAAAGACTCTGATGATATTCCCTGCTAACTTCTGCTATTACTAATTTGTTGATTCTTTTTCATTTTATTTGAGATGTAGCCCAGGCTGTCTTGAAATTTGCCGATTTTTACTTTTAGCTTTATTATTTTCTTCTATTTACTTATATTTATTTTCCATTTTTTAGACTCCTAAAGTAGTATATGATTTTATGAGTTTTTTTCTAATAAGCATTAAAGATTATAAGTTTCCATCTAAGTACAAGTTCAGCTGCATTGTAAAATTTTAATTTTACTCAACTAAAAAATATATCAAGAAGGGGGGCATGGTGGTGCATGCCTTAATCCCAGCACTTGGGAGGCAGAGGCTTAAAAGTCTATTATGACTGAGGAAATAGATATAAGATAGATTCTTTTCTCTTTGCTATAAAAAAGATAATGTTACAGCCAGGTGTGGTGGCGCATGCCTTTGATCCCAGCACTTGGGAGGCAGAGGCAGGCGGATCTCTGTGAGTTCAAAGCCAGCCTGGTCTACATAGTGAGTTACAGGACAGCTGAGGCTACAGGGAGACCCTGTCTCAAAAAGACCAAAAAAAAAAAAAATTTATTTATTTATCAAGAAATGGCTGAAAACTCCCCAAATTTGATGAAAGTCATGAGCCTACAAATTAAGAACTTCAATAAACTCAAAGTAAGCTAAACCATGTCACATAATTAAATAAAACTAAAGCCAAAGAAAGACTTTTAAATTTAAAATAGCAAGAGGAAGGAATACTATCACATACAAAAGACCTTCAATAAGATCATATCCATTTTCTCATCAGAAGACTTGAGGGGGGCAGAGATCAGCAGGACGAAAAACCTGAAGTACTAGAGAACAATGAATTGAGAATTCTGTATTTGGCAAAACCTTCCCCTGAAAATGAAAGAGAAATTATGATACATCCAGTTAAATAAATGTTGAGGGAGTTCATTATTAGACGAGCTCTATAGGAAATGCTGAAAGAAATCCTTCATTTTGAAATCAAAAGCTGCTACACAAAAACTTGAAGTATGAGGATTGTATAAAGATTCCCAGGAAAAGAAAGAACACGACAGATAAAAAGTATTATTTGTAATTTTATTTTATAACTCCAGTTTTTGTTTTTTATAGAATCTAACGACAAATGCACAAAAAATGTAAATTTATATTATTGGGAACATAATGTACATAGAGGAAATTAATAATATCAATAGCATAAAAGGAAAGAGAGCTGTTTAGTAGTAGAGTTTTATATACAGTTGAAGTTAGGTTGGTAATTCAAATCAGATGATTACAACTTTAAGTAAGGGCTAGAGAGATGGCTCAGTGGTTAAGAATGCATACTGCTCTTGCAGAGGACCCGAGTTCAGTTCCCAGCACCCATGTCAGGCAGCCCACAACTTGAAGCTAATATCTGCAATCCCTACTGCAACCACAAAAAGGGGGAAGTTTTAATAGAGAAAATAATAATAACAAAATGACAGAAGCCTTTTCTTAATAGTAATTACTTTATGTATAAATGTATTAAACTCTTCATTCAAATGCAGACATTGACAGAACTGATTTTAAACCACCATGGCCCAATTACAAGGTGACTACAACGATCTCTTATGGGCTAGAGAGAAGGCTCATTGGTTAAGAGCACTGGTTGCTCTTGCAGAGGACCCAAGTTCAGTTTCCAGCACCCACGTGACAGCTCACTAACAGTACCACCAGTTCCAGGGGATCCTACACTCTCTTGGCCTCCATGAGTGTTGTATGAATGGGTGCACTTACATACAGTCAAGCAAAACATGCAGATACACAAAAAATAAAATAAATAAGAAGATCCATGTTAGATCAAAAGGCTTAAAGGTTGAAAGAGAAAAAGAATGTAGGCCTTAGGATACAGTTAAATGGAAGACTATTACCTAGAATGCACAAGGCTCTGGGATTGATCCACAGCATGACAGAGGTGGTAGGAAGGGAAGAGAAACTATTACTATTACTTCTGGACAGATGTATGAAGCAAAATAATGAAGAACAAAGATGTTTAGCTTAGATTCATTTTACTGTAAGTGAAATAAATACCCCTCTTCCCTTCACCACGAAAATATCAAGTTCCTCTAACAATAAATATCACACATTAATGGTCCTCTTATATAAGCAACATTACCTTTTTAAAAAAATATTATTTTTTCACTCTGATTTTATATATATATATATATATATATACATACATATATATATATATATATATATGCATGTGTTTGTGTATGTTGATATAAATCTCAGTTC